AAATAGAATTTCCACCACACCGAGGAAATAAATGCAGTTAGCCACACAGCAGACATAAATATAGTAAATAACAAGGAAGTGATCAATTTTAAGTAATCTTATCTTTTTTGCTATAAAATATTCTATCATAGGTTTGCCTAGTTTAGAATGGCTGTGCTTAGCAGCTGCTCACAGAGTTCCTGAAAACGAAACAATCTGTCCTCACAAACCAGTGTAAGCTGGCTGTAGTACATCATTGCCACATCTGTGTCTCCTGCTTCCCCGCCGCGGGACATGTGGCCTTCAGTATAACCCTCCCCGTTCAGCTCCACAGAGGCCACTCTTGCCAACTTGCACAGTAGGTGAAAGTAGGGATAAGCAACTTGGGTCCTTCCCTTTCCGTGACAGTTCCTTGCTCATCCGTGCCTGCCCACGGGTGTCTCTTTCTCTTGCCCCTCTTCCTCTACCTACTGATGATGTCCAGGGGTCGCATGCTTAACACAGGGGAAGGGCCTGCACTGTTCTACTTCGGGTGAGTGAGTTTAACTCCAGCTGTTACTTATTCTAGCATGTGAGGCTCATACGTAATGCCTTATTTGTAGTCTTTGTACTTCTGAATCATACAGACCAAGATTTGAATCATGTCTTTCCTGTTAATTCATTCTGATCTTGGGTCAGCTAATGAACCTTTCTAAATCTTATTTTCTCATGTCTCCAGTGGGGAGAAAATAATCATCTTCCCGCATAGATTTTCTATGAAAACCAAATGTGCTAATATACATATTTTTAGACACATACGTTTATCTGAGAAAGTGAGTTTGGGAACCAAAGTGACATAGGGAAGGCAGGTACTTCTGAAGTTAGCTTTCCTTTCCTTCCTAGCAGTGCTCCTTCCTGTCTAAAAGTAACGCAACCTTTAATTCTGGTGCTACAATTCTTCCTAAGTAACTTATTCCAAGTAGTCCAGCAACAACACAGTCTCAGGGTGACTTTTTTGGAAAGCATTGATGTGATTTACTAAAGACAGTGAAGAACATGTAGGGTGAGAGATTTTTGGTTTTTGATTTTTTTTGTTTTGTTTTGTTGAGACTGGGTCTCACTACGTATTTGAGGCTGGTCTTGAACTCATTATGTAGCCCAGGATGGTCTTAAATTCATGACAATTTAAGAGCCTCAGCCGCTTGAGTACTGGGATTACACATGTGCATCACCACATCTTGCAGAGATTATTTTTATGTAATAAAATTAGAAGAATGTTAAGGAACTGCAGAATTCCGATTTATAGATGGATTTTTCTTCTTTTTCTTTTCTTCTTTCTTTCTTCCATTTCTCCCCTACCTCATCTACTCTTCCTCTTCCTCTTTTCCTTTCCTCACTTGGTCTTAGACCTCTTTATTTCTAGATCATCAAGAAACATTCATTCTCCAGCCTCTTGAATCAGTCTTACATCTGAGATTTTAAGGCTCCTCTACCTTTAGGGCGTTCTCTCTTACCAGCCTTCTTCATTCATACTTAGCTTGGAATAAAGACACATGAGCTTCTTCAGCTGTCTTCACCACCCAGTGAGATGTAAATTACGAGCGATTAACTGCAGTACAATTAATAGTCTCCAAGTACCAACTCCTTGCCTGCAAAATAGGAGCAATAAATCTTGCCATGTTCTCAATATGGAGCTGTTGTGGAGAGCTAAAGCACTATAGCATGTTCCAGTCCCCTGCACATGTTAAGGCAGCATGCTCACACATGGTAGAATTCACCTGTTTTTCAGATAACATATGTGGTTATACAAGGTCACATATTTTATTGACCCCTCCCTCCAGACTTAGATCCAGAGGTAGGGGTGATGTGTTAAGCTGAGTCTTTCCTCTTGCCTCAGCTGTGATGGTGAGGAGCACTGAACTCCCTCCCAGGATGAATTACCATTCTACCACCTACTAGTCCTGCGTGGGCCAATGACAGAAACTTTCTGATGCTCAGGTTGTTTTCACTTACAAAATGTGCATAACAATACCTTGCTTAAAGTATTGCTAGAGGAATTAAATGAATAATACAGTCAAGGTGGTTTATAAAAGGACAAGCACTTAAAGCTGGGCATAGTGGTGCATGCCTGTAATCTCAGCGTTCTGGGAGTCTAGCCCTAGGTGTGCAGTTTAACCACTTAGTGAGACATTGTCTCAAAGTAGGAATGAAAGAGGGGCTGCGGATGTAGCTCAGTTCAGAGACTGTAGTTTCAGTGTCTAGTATCACAAGAAGAGAGTGTGAGAGAGCACAGGCACCTGGACAGTGCTTCTCAGTAGCTCTTGCTGCTGCTAAGTTACTCTGTCCTCTTAAATGGGTACCTGGGATGCTGTCTTAAGTGCCCCCTGGAAAGTAGTATGGTCTCAGCATTGTCTTCACTGAGATCAAGAGTCTACTTTGGCCGTGAAGTTGTGTCTTGGAAAGGAGGGGGCAAGTGTTGGTGATGGCACCCTCTCAGTCATCCTCCTGTCAGGACCTTGTCCTCGCTGTAGACTCTTAGCTTCCTTGCAGATGGCTGCCACTTAATTTAACTAATGCCTGAACAGCAGCAGAAGATTCCCATTCAAACTGAGCTCCCAGCTTTCCCTGTTCCTTTCCACCTACCCTCCTCTTCCTCACATCCTTACTACCCACGTGTTCTCTAACTAAGTTTGAGTCTGTAGGTGATGCAGTGCTGCTTATCTTAAAAGCCTGGCTTTGAATCTTTCAGGGCTGTATACATCTACCAGGAAGTACCATCAAAGAGATTGCTACAAACCCAGAAGAAGCAGGGAAGTTTGTCTTTGAAATCATTCCAGGTAGGTGCATTCCAGATTAATCCTAAGAGTGGGAAAGAGGTGTATTATGTTCACATTTTATTTATGGGTCTTGGAAGTCAAGGTTTTGAGTGAGTCTTTCAACTAACTAACCAATCTGTTAGGATCACATGATGATTCTGTATATAGTTAGTGGATTTATCCTAGTTGATTAACTAGCACCAAGAACCTCAGTAATGTCCAGGAACTAAGAAGGTGTACATTCACTTCACTCTGAAAGCATTTCATGAGTGTGAGCTCGGAGCCAGGTACTGTACCGGACACTGGGACACTGATGTGAAAAGTGTATCATCTCTAACCCAAAGGAGCTCAGTCCAGAAAGTGAGTGGAACATGAAAATATAGATTTAAGTAAGTAAAATTGCCATTTGGATGAGGTGAAAATGATGGAAAGTCAGCAGTCGCATATGGATCAACAGAACCTAGTAAAAAATGATAGTTTCTATTTGCTGTGCACTTAGCATGTGCCAGATGCTATATGTCATGTATGTTAAAAAAGGATTACAGTAAAAGACACATTACCACTAATTCCCCTCAAATGCACCTATCCCACTGTTTTTGCTAACTTTTGAAGCAATTCTGGAAGTCCTCTTTCATTTCTTTAGCTGCACTGTCATGGCAGCCTTGATGTCCTTTCAAAACTTTTACCTTTAATGGTTATTGTGACTTGGAGTATGCACCATAAGTCTCATAGTGCCAGACCTGGTGAATAAGGAGGATGAGGGCATATGATAATGTTTCATTGGACAGAAATTGCTGTAAACACTTTGAATTGATCCAGCACATACAGACAGCCATGAAAAGACACTCATGAAAGGACTGCCCGAGCTGCTTCAGAAAGCAACAAGAACAATGAGCTAAATATACCTTTGTATCATGTGCTTCAGCTTTATTACCTGTAAAATGGGACTAATGCACCTCTCCATTACATTTCTAAGTGATACTGTGCTTTCTAGGGCATGTTTTCGCTCCCCCAAGAATTTCTTATTTCCCATTTTATGTCTGGAAACACTTACTTAGCCCTCAGGATTGTGCTGAATGACCAGGGCATCTGTGGACTAAACCTACTGTCATGAGAGCTGATCACTGAATGACAAGATGGATTTAGAATCAGCTTTTCCCAAACGGCAAAATAAAGGGAAAGTCATTGATATCAAGTGGAGTTCAAGAGACCAGAACTAAAGGCAATTTTTGTGTCTTTTGTTGTCCTGAGGAAAGTCCAGGTTTGGGCACAATTTAGAAGTTAGTACAGGCTCTCTCTTTCTAGAGAGAGATAGCCTAATCTTGTGAGAATAGGCCGAGGTTTACAAAGGCATTTTGAGATGTAACACAATCCTATAATCAAAAGGGATCGCATTATTTTCTTATCCCTCCTAAGGGTTATTTTTTAAACAGCTAAAAACAATTGTAACCTTGCACATTTCCACTTGCAAAGAGGCTCATGGAGGATGCTAAAGTTCTAGTCCCAGATCTGCTGCTATGTCATCTAAGACCTAAGTTTGATAATCTTCCTTTCCCTCTCTTACCTGTCCCTCCTCATTTTTCTTTTCATTTTTTGGTCATTTGCCTTTTTCTTTCCTTTGGTCTCCTCCCATACCCTCTCTATCCCCTTCTCATTTTCTTCATCATTTTGTCCATTTTAATACATCAATACAGGAAATATAATGTATGTCTATCTCTTCGCTTTAAAATGAAAGAGGTAAACTAAGTCCTAAAAAGCTTCATATGTCCGTTAACTAAGTATTGAGAATTTACCACTTGCAAGGGTTTCTGTGGTCAGGAGGACAGTGATCTGAATAGGAAACAATGATTTTGTGAGAAAGACATTCTTATATGCATTGTTCTTCTCACCCTAGGTTCCTGTCCTTTTCCAAATTTCTGCACCTGAGCTCTTGGCAAAAGTTATCCCAATCTGAACCATTGTGTTAAATGACTTGTTTGTAGAATTAGAGATTCTGCAAAAACTGTTAAAGTACATGGATGTCCAGTTCCACTGAGAATCATTGAATGGTGGCTTTGTGTTACTTGACTGGTAGTGCTTCATCAAACCAAGGAATCAGTTCAGGTTCAGCCTCCATTCCCTTCCTCTTGCTCTGCCCCCAACCCCATCAGTCTAAGACTCTCATATGTGCCACTTTTCCCACCAGCCTCATGGTACCTGAATCGCACAGCACAAGACTCCTACATCCTCATGGCCAGCTCCCAGGCAGAGATGGAAGAGTGGGTTAAGTTCCTTCGGAGAGTTGCTGGCACACCATCCGGAGGTAAGGACTTTGCAAGCCCTTCTGAGCAGGTGTCTGTAGCAGGGAAGAACAGGAAACAGCTTCAGATGTGATCGCTCCCTGAAGGATCTGAAGAAAGGCCAGAGAATGACTGTAAGAGCATGGTCATGGTCATGGTCATGGTCATGGTCATGTCAGGTCAGGTCATGGTCAAGTCCTCTGTTGAGTGGTAGCAAAAGGGGGTCCAGAGCATCTAGCTTCCCTGCTGGGTCATCTCACAAATCCAACCCCAGATCAACTGGAAGGGTAGTAAGTTTGCACAAATCAGCAAATGTGTGTGACACTCAAAGCCGTCATTTCTCCTTTGTGGGCCAGAGCACTTCACATGTGTGAAATGCATAGGTTGGACCAGCCAATCCGTGCTCCCAGCACCACTAATTGATGAGCCTCTGTGGAATGTTCAGACGGGGGACTTGAGGGGCCTGAGAGGCTGATAGCAAGATCTGTAACTTAGGCTGATCTGCGCAAGGGAAAAAGGGACAGTCTCATGAAGAGGGACAGTTGGGACTGGGAAAGTGTTGCTGGCATGCAGCAAATCTGCTTCAACACATTTCTGGGCTGCCTGACTCAAGTGTGTGAGCTCTCCACAAATCTTAGTGATATCTCTACAGCAGAGAAGGATCTTGACTGCAAAATCATCCCCAAAACGAAACAGCGAACAATGCAAAACAACTGAAATCAACAAACATACTCTGTATTTTCCTCATTTTATATAAACACAAAAGACTGCAGTGCATGAGCTCACATGACACCATTTTCCCTCAGCTTTTTAGGAACATGCCTCCTGGTGTCCATTCCAGGATGACAGCCTAAATGGACAGTCACTCGGCGACTTGGTTGTCTCTTACTTTAGAAATCATTTATGGATGCTTTTGTGGATTAAATACCAGGTTCATTTGAGTACTCCACAATTTCTTTCAGAAATTATAAGTACACCACAATAATTTGATGGAAATGTAAAAGAAAAAGCTTTAAACTATCAGAAACATTTTTTATGGTTATTTTCCCAGCCAATGTTCATAAGTTTATATGTTTTTCTGGGATCATAAACATAGACTATATCCCACTTAATACCTTTTATTTTATAATCTAAGAATTTCTCCATGTTGCTGTAGAGCCATAATTGATATAGCTCAGGGATTAAGTGGTCAGAAGGGATAGAAACCGTGTCAAGGATGGTAAGCCACAAAGAGGGCTCTATGGAGTAATATGGGAGCTACTCAAAGAAACTATCAGCAAGAACTGCCAGGAGGCCTCTCAGGAGATGGGGGCTGGAAATTGACCATGGACATTGAGCTAATCCAGTCAGTTTCTCTGGGACCACATTGCTTCTCATTCTACTCCTCCCTTAACCCAGGCTGCTTTTGTCCAGTCAGCAGCCCCCTCATGCATACACCTGTCTCAAATGCTCCTGTGCAAGCCGCAGCTTTTCCATGCTTTCCCCTCAGCACCAGCTCAGTCCTTGTAGCCCCATTCCAAGCCTCTGAGAAAGAAATTCTCCCTGGTTCATCTGAAGTCAGTTCAGCAGTGGACCCAGGACATGGAGGAGCAGGTGGCTGTGGCCTGTGACCCACCGCTGAAGGTTTTGAGAAAGGAAGTGATGAATGGGACAGCAAACTCCAGAGTACCTGCTGTGTCTAGATGTCCCTCCAAAGCCTCATGTGGTCATAGGTGGGGATTTTTTTTAGAGGTTGCTGGATCTAGAGTGTGTGATGCTGAGATTAAGGGTGTGTGATTATTAAATCAGTCTGCTGATTGGGTTGGCACAGTTCTGGGTGTGGATAATGGGAAGACACCTCCCCCCTGAGTACTACCTGCCCTAAGGGCATGTAGAATGCAAGGGACAGAAATAGGGTTGCTGTTGGAGGTTGTTGCTTGCTTCCTTGCTATTTCACTGCTTTGTTGCCTTGCTGCCTTCTGCCTGCCATGGACTGTTTCTCCTCCGTGATGTCCTTCTGCCATGCCACCCTGCCTTGGAGCCAGCCAACTATGAACTAAACCCTCTACAAACTGAGCTAAATGAGCTCTTCCTCCTTTAACTTTGGGTGTCGGGTAGTTTGTTTCAGCAATGAGAAGATAACTAAGACAGTCCCGTTACAGGTAGACATACCTAATTTTATTAACCATTCCCCAGGCCCTAATTACACTTCTTACTTTAAAAAAATCCTGCCATTTTGGCTTTATGTATTAAATTTTGACTGTACATTATTGCAGCCTGGATAGACTTGGCTGTGACCTTCTTTATCACCCTGGATTATGAGATGGTGAGCCCTGTTGACATTTCCTGCTTCCTCTATGCTGGGTTTTAAGCAATCTGCACTGACAAGAGTAGCAGATGTCACCTAATTATGCACCTGTTCTGAGTCAAAATGCTCCCTATGTACTTTCAGTAGGAGCTGGGCCTTCTGCAATGCTTGGCTGAGTCTGCCACGGTGAACTGCTTCACTCTGTCCTGCTACACGGGGCATTTCTCCCTTGCCCTACCCCAACCCACCACCCGGAGAAGCAAATCAAGCGTAAGTCCTGTAGGTGGTGGAAAGTCCACGGCAGGGGAAATCAGAGCACAGCACTATTTACTTACTCAAAGGGTAGCATTGGCTCTGATGTGACATCTTGGGTGTTTTTAAAGTTACTCTTTGAACCAGTGTCATAGATCCCAGAATCAGAAGGAGTTTTAAGACAGTCGAGTGCCATCAATGGCCATTGGGCAAATCAGATATTTGTTCTTCCTATTTGCAAGTCAGGGAGCTTCAGTCCTAAGAGAACAGATTCATCTAAGAAGACCAGCTAGTGAGGTACAGGGCAAAGACACTTTTGCATCTACCACTCGTGAAGTGCCCCTAGATCAACAGGCAATGCCCCCCAATATTATAAAGTTACAGAAATACTGCAGCTGCCTCTTTTTAGCCTTCCAGGCAATGTCCTATGACTTTTTTCTACTTTGAATCTGCCAAATTCTCACTAACTTGACAACTGCAATCTGGTTGAGAAGAAATCCTTTCTGGACCAAATCACAGCCATGGCCCCCAGACTCGCCTCCCTGTTTTCACCCCTGCCTCCTTACAGTTTGTTTTCACTCAGAGTGAGCTTGTTAACCAGTCATCCAGAATGTGTCTCTGCTCAGCACCTGATAGCTTTCCTTCTTACTCAGCGTAAAAAGTAAAAGCCTTGTATTGACTTACAGTGGGCAGTCTACTCCATTGACCTATCTATCCTTGTTTTCTACAACCTTCTACCATAGTAGTTCCACCCAGCTTCACCAGCCCCTTCAAACATCGTAGCCTGCTCCTCGCCTGGGGCCTTTGCACTTCCTTCTGTCCTAGAATCCTCCCGTGCCTGGTAGTCACGTGGCTTAACCTCTTGCTTTCTTCAGATATTTGCTCAAAAATCATCTCAGTCAGATCATCACCTTCTCCTGATTATTCTACTTAACATTAACACCTTCTTTAGCATGTACTCTTTTGTAACATACTGAATGTTTTACTCCTGATTTTGGTCATAATCTCCCTTGACTCTGATGAAAGCTTCAATCTACTTGTCAGGAATTGATTATTCTCTAGTTTCTCCCCCAGTATTGTATCCCAGAATCTGAACAGTGCCTGGCATCATAGGTGCTCAGCAAACGTGTATCAGGTGAAAGGGTGATGGAAAGGCCTCTCATCCCACCGCAGTGTCCTGTCCCACTCCTCCAGGTCCCCTCTCCACTACGTCACCCTCAGCTCATCTAGGAAGTGGCTCAGTAAATGAGTCGCTCCCTCTAGAATTATCTGCCTCCAGGCTTGTTGATGGTGAGGGTTAATGAAGCTCTTCATGGTTCTAAGACCTCCTTAGAGAATCTGAGAAAAGCTATGGGAACTTCCCCAGTATCATCCACAAGTTTGCTTTTAACAGCAGGCTATTTTCAGACACCTGTAGCTCATCAGTACAGCCCGAGCTGTGACAACGCCACCGAGCTGACTGCTCTTCCTGCCCCCCACTGCCTGTCCTCTCCTTTCTTCCTTGACCTCTACCACGGACTCTGCGGTGCTCCCTTTCTCCCCGCTTGGCTCCCCCTGCCTCCCAGCTGGCCTGGAGCTCTGCACGCGGTGGAGAGGCGGCTCCCAGGCACTCAGCTTTGTCAGCCACCTAGGGTTTCCTAACCCTCTCCTCAGGGCCTGGCTGGAAATTTAGACCACCTCTGTCTGAGAAGTTCTGGTGCAATTCTAGGTTTTCCTGATTCAAGTAGGAGAAAGACAGCAGAGGCCACTACAGCTCCACTTCTGATGACTCCCTCCCAGCTCACAGCGGAGCCTTTTCTCCAAATTAGACAGCCGGGCCTTCCCTGGGTGCACATGGGAGCCTGGGCCCTCCCCGCCACCCAGGGAGCAGAAGGTCCGCGTTGCTCACTGTGACTCAGCCCAGACCGTCTGTAACCCCTTCCCCAGAGCTCGGCATCTGAGGGTTGGCTCTGGATTGCCAGGCACAGAAGGAATGCATTAAGTTGCTCATATTTTGTTCTGCCCAATCCAGTTAGAAGGTCTAGGGCAGGTTCTGTGTTTTAAGTGCCTTTGTGCGTTTGCCAACACAAGGAAGATAGTATGTAAGAATTGAATTGCTTTGTACCTGGAATGCCTTTGCTTCCTCTAATTCTTTTAACTTCTCCGCATCCTTCAGAATGTGATTTACAATCGCAGCACAGTTTAGCCTGTGGGGGTTGCTGTCTCAGTGATTCATTGTCGTGCCTTGTGATCAGGCCCTTTCTCTCTAACTAGAGAGTGGATGCTCAGTGATATATATATATATATATATATATATATAATTTTTTGTAGTAATAGAGATTGAACCCAGGGCTTTTGTACTGAGCTACATGCTCAGCCCATTTTTTTTTTTCTTTTAATTTTGAGGCAGGGTCTTGCTAAGTTGCTAAGTTACCCATGCTGGGCTCAAATTTAAGGTCCTCCTGCTTCAGCCTCTCAAAGTGCTAGGATTACAAATGCTCACCATCATGTCCAGCTAATAGGCATGAGTTTTATTTATTTCCACTCATTTCTTCATTTCCTTGCCCCTTGGCTCTTGCAGCGACGGATACTTATTTGTCCATTTACTCAACAATAATTTCCTGAGCATATAACATGTGCCATGTCAGCACTGAGGGTAAAACAGGGAGAAAGAGAGGCGGGAGAAAGCAAAAAGAGAAGACAGGGTCTCTCCTCTCACTGAGCTCACAATCTATTAGAAGACACAGAAAGTAGTTTTCAAAAAGCCAAGAAAAGAAAAGACATAAAACCACTTTAAAAAGTGTCAGGAACGAAAATTGCGTGGTGCCGTGTGAAGAAAGACAAATCTTTGTCAAGATAAAGATTCCCTAAATTAATGATAATTAAGCTTAGACCTCAAGGGCCAGCATAGGTTTACCAGACAGGGAAGGGAAAAGAGGAATGGTGTCTCAGACAGAGAGAACAGAAAGTGCAAAGGTCCTGTGGCAGGAAAGAGAACAGGCTGTGGGAAGGAGGAAGGGGAAGGAGGTCACAGCAGAGACAGTTTTATAGAGGATGTTGGTCTTCGTCCTAAGGTAGTGGCTGGAGAGGTTCAAGCAAGAAAGCTATAAAATTAGCTTAGATTCAAGGGATCTTTCTAGTTGTTTTGTAGAGAATAGCTCGGGCTGGAGGTAGCAGATCAGAGTGAATGCCGAAGACTAAATGTGAAGCTCAAGCTGTCACCCAGGGAAGAGGGCACAGATGGTGGCTTGAACACAGGTGGTGGCAGTGGAGGTGAAGAGAAATGAACAGGTTTGCACAGCCATGCGGAGGTAACATTGCCAGGACGTGGGAGTGAATTCCACACGGGGGCGGGGAGGGGGGGTGGTGTCTAAGATGTGGCCTCCAGTCTGCTCCTTCCCCCTGCAGAGAGATGGACACTGGTTGGCAGGGAGACACAGCCCCAGGTTGCTTCCTGGTAATCTTGCTCCTACCTGTCCCTCTGCAGGGCCGAGAGTGCGGTCCAAGTCTCCTGGGAAGCCGGGCTCTGGCTGCGGCACTGTTGGCTCAGTCTTCCAGGAGGAGGGGGCCCTCTGTCTACCCACCCCCAACTCCATTATCTCTGAAGGCCTGGCCCAGCCGCGGCAACTCTGAAAGCATTTCCCGGGAAAGGTGGGCTGGCTTCATAAGCACTAAGTGAAATTCTGTGTTCCTGCCAGACACGTTGATATACGGGGCCGTGCTGCTGAGGGCTTGCGTGCACAATCCCCGTATTTATTTATTTCTTTAAACCCACTTCCAAGTTATCCCCTGAATGGCAGTTGACAATTAGCTGCTAAGTAAAAGGAGGCACTTATTTTTATTGTGGCCTTGACAGCTTTATGTTCACTCTTTAAAAGCCGAGAGTCCTGTGTGTAAAGGTGAGGGGGGCGGCGGCGTGGGAGGCAGGGAGGGCCGGGCAGGTGCCGACAGATCCCAGGGTTCAGTCCGGGAGTCAGAGCCTGGCCGGTGTGTGTGTGCAAGCATGTGCTGATCGGAAGCCAGAGAGGACGGTTCTCCCAGCCGGGGGAGGAGAGGAGGCCCCAGGCCGCCCTTGAGGGCGCGGAGTCCTCCGGACGCTGCCATGCCTCGGATCCCCAGGATGCCGCGCTGGGACCTGGGCTGTGGCTTCCCTGCCCTGGCGCTGCTCTTCTGCTGGGATTTCAGGAAGAAGAGCCCCATGCTCCGGAAGAAAGGTATTTTTTCCCTGTCTTGTGATTCAGCTCTGCCCCTAGGAGACACTTATTTCAGGTCCTCTTCACGCTCCTGTCAGGAATGGGGGTGCGCCTGGAACTGAGCCCCTGGGAGACAAGTACCAGTGCCGGGCTAGGGGCCGTGACGGGACTCTCCTCGGGGTCGGGGCGGGGTGGAGGGTTTCGTTTTTTGAAGTCAGGAGTGTTTGAGTGATGACAAAGGAGGAGCAGGGCTGAGACAGAGGTGACAGGTGATCTTTCCGTTTTTGCTTCCCCAAACCAAGGCAGTGTTTCTCGACGATCTAGGGTGGATCTTCGGGGCTAGGTGAGGAGAATGGGGTGTGAAGGAATATTCCCCGTTTGTGTTTGCTTAGAATGTGATGCCTGCTGTCCAAAGCTTCGGGTCTGGGGGCTGCAGAAGAGCGAGGTGGGATGGCTTGAGACTGCGATTGCCCTGGCTGCTGTGGTAAACTGCACAGGAAGCACCCAGGATCTCAGCCAAAGTCCCTCCCCTTGAGATCTGATGGTGTCTGAACTTTTATTCCATTGACTTTGCACAAAAGGCATGAAAGTACTGAATATTGAATCACTGGGCAATATGCCCTTCAGCAAATGCTGTGTCTGAGTCTCAGTTTTTCCACCTGTAAAATGGAACATCTGCTTTGGAGGGCTTTTGTGAAGACTGAACCAGACAGCACACTTGAAAGCATCTAAGGCAGTTCCCAGCATAAAATTAGCTTAATTAAATTGGCCAGTTTTTATTATGTTACATTTTAAAGTTATAATAATTATGTAATATATAGTAATTAAAACTGATTAATTACACGGTATAACTGTTAAGATGGAAATGCCTCCGCTTTTGCCGACTGGCTCAAAGAGATGATGAGTTCAGAGTGAATGTGCTCTCGCAAGAGGGTAGAAACCGCTGCTAAGAGGGCCTCCCTGGGCAGCCCGACACACAGGAGCCTGGGTTTTGCTCCTTGCTGTCCTTGCAGTGGAGAATGTTTAAGAAACTCCTGCCCCACTGTCTTCTGTCACTGGCCTCTGCCTGCTTTCTCCGTGGGTTTCCTGTGGTCATCTATTTCCCCCCACCTCAGGTCTCCATGTCCGTGCGAGCCAAAGGCTGGAGATAAGGATCCAGAGATCAGAGATGAGCACCGTTCAGGACCAGGTCTTTGGAGTTCCAAGGATGTTTGCACTTGCAGACTCCTCGTACATCAGCTGAGAGGAGGAGTGACAAAACCTGACTCAGACAAACCACAGAAAACAAGGATGCTCTTTCTCTCACATAACAAGGGACACTGTTGGCCCCAATACCTCTAGAGCTTGCAGTGGGGCATTCTCGTGAGAGGGAACAGCTCTGCTAGAATTCTAGGTTTCATCACGAGCTGATATTTAAAGCCGTGAGAGTATGAGAAAGCGTGTGAAGCTGGGGAAGGAAGGCCCTGGGACACTGACCTTCAGAGGACAGAGTGAGAAAAAGGAATCCTTATTTAAGGGGGGTGAATGGGAGCAGCTAATAAGATAAATGAGGAACTGAGAGAGTAGTGCACCAACCACCACGTGAACCAGGGTCTCAAGAAGAGGGAGTGACTTTCTGTGTCCCATGCTGGGAATGACACAGCTGAAATGAATGAGAACTTAAATCCTGGACTTAAAAATGGAAAGGCCATTGCCTCCTTGACAAGGGTGGCTTTGGAAAGTGCTGAGCAGCGTGAAGAGGTGGACAGGAGGAACGGGAAGCTGTAGGTAGCAGGCGCTCCTGGAGGATTGGTCCCCCATGTGCCGTCTCCACGCCAGGAGACAAAAATAGATGGGCAGCCAGACAGGCTGTCTGCCTTTCAGGAGCCCACAGTCCAATGGAAGAGAGAGATGCTGCATAAATCAGCATAGAACTCCATGAGAGGTGATGGATAGAGGAGCACACAGGGAGCTCCATGAGCACCAAGGAGGGAGAGACCAATTCCCTCTGAGAAGCCAGCACAGCCCAGGAAAGGGGCGTTCAGGGGAGAGTAGGAGAAGGCTTTGCAAGAGTGTTTAAGAGTAAAGACTACTTTTCGTCTTAGTGCCCAGCTACTGAAGAGCTTAGCTGCCAGTAGATGCATGGTCCACCTTTACAGGGTGATTTTGTGATTTCTGGTAGAAGAATTTTGCAAGAAATTGAGTTATAGTATACACACACACGCACACACACACACACACACACACACACATACATGCTACAAGTAGTACAAGCAGCAGCAGTGAGAAAAGAGAGACACTTAAAGTTTATTTCGAATCCACCGATATATCAGAGTGAGAGAGTGTTACAGGTTCTAAAGCTCACAGTTTTGCTAACTGGGTGAGCCGAATGCATGCACCTACCTCATATTAGTGGCTTTGTCGTCTCAGCACCTGGGAGAGCACCTGCCACTTTGCCGACTGACTGAACGCTATGGCCTGTGAGGAGGGGCTACAGCAGAAGCGGCGATTTAACAGTGGGGTGAGAGTGAGAGTGAAGAGGGCAACAGGAGAATGGCCACTCTGAGTGGGACTTACAGAAGTAGAAAAGAGAGACAGACACAGACAGGTGGATATTCCAGGACCAGGTGTACCGATGTAAACGTTATCAGTTTATAATTGACATCCATCCCTTCCTAAGGGAAGTGTCTCTGATGAGAATAAAAGAAAACTAAATTGAGATCCCAGGCCATGACACAATAGAGAAATGGGTAGAAGACAGGGTGCAGTAAGGGAGGCCAAAGGGAGTCCTCAAGGGGATGGGAAGAGAGATGGGCAGCTTTCTAGCCGCTTAGGGAGAAGGTTTTTATAGGAGAATCAGCATCATCAGACCCTTCAGAGAAGACCAGCGAGGTAGGAAATCACTTGCGGCTGGATGCGGCCATTAGGAGGCACCAGAAATCTTAGGAAGAGGTTGATGGGGAGATGCAGGTGATGAAACCAGAGTGCGGTGAGCTGAGAGGCAAATCCGAAGTGAAGCGTGGGCTGGGCGGGAGGCTGCACCTCTGGAAGGAAGCACGTTTTTTGATGAGCACAGTGGTGAAGAGAAGCGAGGCAAGCACGGGTCACTTCACTTGCCTGAAAGCTGCGGTGGGAATTGTCCTTTCCTAAACTGGCAGAGGCCAGGACTCACGTGGGCTCTATAGAAGGAAAGAAAAGAATTATACTACCGGGAAAGAGTGTATCCTGGAAGATGTGAAGGGACGGAGCTGACACTTTCAGAAAACATCACCTAGAGGACACCCAGGGCCCCTTCTTTCCCAGACAGAGGGCAGGAACACAGTCAGAGGAGGAAGGACAGAGGCAGGGGCTGGTGGCAAGGAGTCCACTCATGTCCTTCAGTTGGGAGGGAAGGGAAGGGAAGCCTAAGTCGCCTGCTGAGACAGAGGGGTGGGGAGCTCAAGGAGTGTGAAGGTTTGAAACGACCAGGGTCTTGCGAGCATTGGAGCTGTGGATGTCTGTTCTGTGACACCTTGATCCCTCACAGCTCTCAGTGGCCTAGGCTAGTGGAGAACAGCAGGATGGGATGTTGGAAAGTGACCCTGGAAAATGGATGTATTGGTGACGATGACACGGGAATGACTGTGGCTGGACACGGGACAGGACTGAGGGATTCGTGTGAGAAGAAGAGCCCAACTTCTCCACGCTCACGCTTACATTGATCTGGGCTATCTTTCCCCTTTGGAAACCAGGGGGCCTATGGAGGCCAAGTTTCAACAGCTCCCAAAGCTGACTATTCCTCTGTCTGAGGGCCTCCTCCCTGGGGTCCTCAAAGGGAATTTCCCAAAGGTCACATGGGTTTTGTTTTTTTTCAGTACTAGGGATTAAAGCCACTGCCTTCATACTGAGCTACATCTCTAACCATTTTTAATTTCTTATTTGGAGATAGAGTCTTACTAAGTTGCTAAGTTTCCCAGGCTGGGCTCAAACTTGAGATTCTCCTGCCTCAGCCTCTTAGAGTGGGATGTGCCACCACACTTAGCTTATAAGTCATATCATTTGGTGGAAATATGTATCCAGTTCCTCTCACAGACAAATAAGAACCTAATTCCGCGTGGTTATTGGCATTCCTTTGTCTCTCACCACTTTTTGCGTGGTCCTTTCCCTTCCATACCTGGGTGGTAAGCAAAGTGAAAGCAAGATCCAGGTCTTCCATGTCTCTTGTATGTGTAGCCCCTTCCACGATCCTGGCACAAAGCAGAGCACATCGTGGGACCCTTGGCAGCTGCTAGTGGGAAATTGGAGTTATTTTCTGAAGAGATGCTTACTAGTGTTTCAAGTACAGAAATGCCCAGATCATCATCAGTCGTGGAAAATATTTGCCTAAAGACAAAAGACTTTATTAACTGGTTCAGCAAAATGTCTGTCTGGTGCCAGGCATTATGCTGAACACTGGGGATGACAAGATGCCCCCACTACCAACACCCCTGGCCTCAGGGGGCCTGTGGCCCTGCAGAGCACACTGGTGCATGCAAAGCACAGTAGCACGGTGTGGCAAGGAATGGGGATGTGCAAGATGGGGTGGGGCACACAGAACAGGAAGTCGTCTCTCCCTGTGGGACCCAGGGAAGGCCTGGCGGAGACAAGGGTACTGAGAGAGGTCAGGGAAGACAAACAGAATTCCAACAACAAGGAAGGGAGAGGACAGATTGTGAAGGGAGAGGAGACTGAGGACATAGAAACTGAGGCTCGCAGACTAAGATGCCAGTAGGGGCACGGCAGGAAGTCACACTAAAAAAAAAGTGGGTGCCTAGCCAAGCGGAGGGCTGCCGGGCTTGGTTTTCAAGCTTTAGCTACAAGGATATTTAAGCTGATAAAATCTTGAGATGTAATGAGTCGAACAGACAACAGCCTGGCAGATGTGGCTGGGATGAGACCTGCCTCCTTCCTACCCCTGCACCTGACCTCGTAAGGGAGAGATTCCCAGCAGCTCCCAGGCTCTGAGCGGCCACCCAGAGAACACCGCTGCAGCAGCCGGTGAGGGAGGGGAGGGTGTTCAAAGGCAGGGTTGTAGTGCTCAGGGAGACTAGTTCTGAGAAAGATAAGCAGCAGGAGGCTTTCGAAAATGGTAGAAAGGAGAGACGGGGGGAGGTACAGGCCGGAGAGGAGCCTGGGAGGACCAGAGGGTTCGAGAGCCTGGTACAGCTGGAACAGGTGATACAGGTGAACTCCATCTTAATTAGGGACTAGAGAAAGGGGACCAGCCAGAGAGAGAGCACAAGGGGGAGAACCAAGGGACTTTGCAGACTTGTGACTTAGGAATCCTGGTGCTGGGTGCGGTAGCACCTCAGTTACGACAGAGGGAAGACAGAGCAGGACAGAGGGGAAGCCAGGACCTGCCTCTGAATCTCTGCACAATGCAGAGCCTACGGGCATGGTGGGGTAATAAGGAGGCAATGACTGATTGTCCTCATTGAGAAACTAATCTTGTTCAGTGCAGGGGTGGGGGAATTACGGAGCTAAGTGCTGACAGGGCCGGAGTGGAGCCGATCCAAGCTTGCTTTGTTGGAGGCCGTGCAATTTGGATAAATATTTCTGGAAAGCAATTTGCATACCATCAGGTCACAAAAATGTTCAAACCACTTGACCCTGTAATTCTATGTAGGAATTTGCCCTAGGGAAATAGTTCAAAAGAATGAAATGTTTGTGTTTATCCATCCAAATGTTAATATATTAAGCAGTTAATTAGACGTTATGCATTTGTACTACATACATTCCAGGAACTTGGTGAGTACGTGTTCAGTGGGGCCATGTTTACAATAGTCAAACATAGTAAACAACCTGAAGCCACAATGGTTTAATACAGTCTTGAGACAATCACGCGATAGGCGATTGTGCTTGAATGCTCTGGACACAATCAGAATGCAGAACAGCCTGCTTGCTGCTGTGGTTTAGCACGCACTCTCACGAGTTTGCCGTCTGGGCTTGAGTTCTGACTGTGCCGTGCCCTGCACTGCCTCATGTGAAAAGTTCACTAGCACCTGTAAGGCTCAGAGTCTTTCATAGTGAAGAGTGCATGACAGTGCTACCAATTCATGGGCTTGCTGTCCAGAAGAAATGACAAAAAGGTGTGCAAAGAGTATGACAGGACTCCTGAGCACACAAGTGCTAAGAGAAAGCCGGCTGTTATTTTAAATACTGTATATTAAAATGTGGACCAATAAAAAAAGACTAACAGAGACTGCCTCAAACTTACAGCCCCCCACATTTGTAGACCTGGAAATACTGTAATCAGTATTCCATGTTCTGTTGGTATTATTGTGCTAAAAGCTTTAGAATCATGAGTGACGCTGAAGAACCAAGAAATAGGCAAAGTGCTTTTGCTCTCCAGTTAATTCAGGGAAAGTCAGAATGATGAGCAGATCCCGTTTCATCTCTTCCCAGCGGTGTTTGGCCAGCGCTTGGATGAGACTGTAGCCTATGAACAGAAGTTCGGCCCCCACTTGGTACCCATCCTGGTGGAGAAGTGTGCGGAGTTCATCCTGGAGTACGGCATGAATGAAGAGGGCATCTTCCGCCTGCCCGGGCAGGACAACCTGGTGAAGCAGCTGAGAGATGCTTTTGATGCCGGGGAACGGCCCTCCTTTGACAGGTATGCTGTTCTCACTGAAGAGTTGTGTGTCTGCCTTTCTCTCCACCTGGCTCACCTGAGAGGACCTCTCTGCCTGCAATGAGCTGTGGTACCGCCACAAATGCTCCCAAGAGCCCTGGCTTGTGTCTGAAAGAGTCTTTATTCTACTCACAATTCAGAATTTGAAACCTAGAGCACAGTTAGGAGTAGGCTGCTGCTTATGAGAAACATGACGTGAGCTGAAACTAAAACCTTACTGGGCAGATTCCAGTGATATTTAGGATGTAGCAGAAGGGAGAGTTGGGAGAAAACTGGAGTCCAGCTTCAGGCCTACCCTCTGGTCAGATGAGACACTTGGAAGAGCTGAGCTGGCTGCACAAACACGTGGTGTGAGGGAGACTGCACGTGTTTACATCCAAGGGCACCGGTGGTTCTGCTCAGCTTTCGAGAAGTGGGCAGAAACAGGATTTCTTGTAAGTTTCCAAGCCCACAGTACTGCGTGATCCTGAGCTTTCTGGAGGGAGTGCATACTGCTCAGCAGGAACCTGGTGCTCTCCCGAGTCTCCTGTGTGGAGCTTGCTCTTCCCTAGTGGGGGCCTATCAGATACAGTGATAGTTCTTCCCATCATTCCCCTCCCCCTCCCCCCTCCAGCCTCCTAGCAGAGGGTTCTTTCCCGGCCATGCAGCCCCTGTAATCCCCACCCCAACACTGTGCATCCCATGCCTGTTGTGCAGTGTTCTCCATGGTTACCTCCATGTACCTGTCCTCTGGGCATAAGATTCATTGTTCTTCCTAAATCATTAGCCTATAAATGAAGACTTAGTAGCAGGGGCCTGAGCTCTCTCAGGTTTTCCCCAGAGCTTATTTAAGATGGAGGATAGGGCTGACCCTGGGAAGATTGTGAAGACCCCAGGGCCAGGCTGGTGTGCAGAGCCTCATTGCTCCTCTTCCTCATTCCACTCCCTGATCTCCCATCTGCCCATTCCTCCTCCAAAGCATTTCTGAGGTCCATCTGTTTTTCTCCAGTCTCACAGCCACAACCTGTGCTTGGACTAACATACAGCTATCTTTCCTGTCCCTTAGCATGGCAAAGCTTAATTTACCAAAGGAGCTATATATTAACACACCAGAGCAGTGGTGGTGAACCTATGGCACGCATGCCACAGTGGGCTGTTTGTATTGTTGAAAGCTCTAAAAGGTTCGCCATCACTGCACTAGGGTCTGCTAGGGAAGCAATGGGTGGGGTTGTTACTGGAGCAACAGCAGGTTGTGGGCATCAAATTTATAGGTCTTTCAGCAGCACAATCAATTAAATTTCGTGTGTGGGTACCTATTCTGTTATGTCCACCACCTTTATATTCAGTTTTCTTTTCCAATTTTTAAGTGGTTTTGAGTTGGTCAAAAGATGCAGGTGGATTGTTGTTAAGACAACGCAAATAGCAAACTGAAAGGAAAGACGTGTCTGCTGGGATTTGCCCAATAACTGCCTTAGGCTTTAGCGTGGGCGCCATGGAGTCAACATGGGTGGTGGTGCCAAGTCTTTGATTCCCGTAAAATTCTTGGGGCTAGACGGAGGCAAGTTGCCACTCCTTGTCATGACAGCTCTACCTCTAGAACTGAGAGATAGAAGGGTCACCTGAGTCATCAGGTCCTCCCTGGGCTGCCTTGTGTGTCCTGTGACAAGAGGACAGGTCAGATTCCGACATACCTAGAGTTCAAGGCTTCCTCTAAGAGCATGTTCTAGGTTAAGAGAATTTCTTTTCTACCTACAGTTCTGGGTATAGCATCCCATAGTCTTTCACTATGGGCATGGCTATGGAGTCAGCAGAATTCACCTCCATGCCCATCCTTCCATTTCTTTCCTTTTAGGATGTGTTATGAATGCCTAATATCACATTGAACTGCAGATTTTAAAGATCATTTTCATACCCATTTTTCTGATTTAACCCCCAAGATAAACCTGAAGAACAAACAAGGCTATTAAAATTTTTTCTGTTGTTGTTGTTGCCAGGAATCGAATTCATGACCTCAGGCTTGCTGGGCAAGCGCTTATGCCGCTGAGCTATATCCCCAGCCCTTTTTCTTTTTTTAAATTAAATTCTTCTGTATTTATTTATTTGGTACCAGGAATCAAACTCAGGACTTTGTGCTTGCCAGGCAGGCGCTTGTACCGCTGAGCTATATCCCTGGCCAAGGCTATTAAGATTCTACAGGTGATGAATCAGGCTTAGAATCTGACAGAGGGTCAGGCAGCTTGTTCCTGGACCATAAAGGTCTGCTAACCCTGAGCCACTCAGGACGCCACCTTCCCTCCGTTTCCCTTTCCTCCTGCTCTGTTCCAGCCCCAACCCCCACTGTGTCCCACCCCTCACTACACACATATAGTTCAGGTACTACAGTCCCAAGCATGACCCATTCCTCTCCTACTCCATGCCAGACTCACTCTCAGGAGACCATCCAAGACTGGTCTCTTTTACTTTCAAGGCCCCTTGCCAGTTTTGTTGATCTCTCTTCAGTTGGTTTTGTTAAATTTTACTGTGTTTGCAGTTTCTTCCCCCTCCCATTTTCTTAGACATGTATGAGTGGCAAGGGGGATTGGGAGGGCTAGGAGCCCCTTCGTAGTACTCACCACATCAGATCAGTGAGTGTTCTCCTACGTCCTCCATATTGGCCTTGACTCATTTCCATTGTAAGAGCCACCCTGCTCCCTCCCACCTCACTCGAAAGCAAAGAATCAGGAGTGCTTGTTGGTGAGACGCTAGCACCGGTGTATCTGGGTGTTGTTAAACACAGAAATGTAAATTTGAAATTTCCTTCCTAGCAGGCTGGATATTGCCTGATGGCAAAGTTAATGCACTTTCCATCCTGTGCGCGGTGGGTGAGCAGACATGCCACATAGTAAGCATCAGTGAGCCAAGGCAAGGGCTGGCAGAGCCATCAAGGGCTCCTGGGAATCTCTGGTGCATCTACTGTTGAACCCAGAAGGCGCCTGGCTCCTGACTTGGTTCTAGTGCTTGATTTAAAAAAAAAAAAATCATGATTTTGGTGCGAGGTTGGAGGAACAGCCACGTCAGGAAACATGATGCTGGAAACTTAGGCCACAGAAGAATAGTATGATGAGGCACAGACATTAAAGCAAAAAGGCCCAGAAATAACCATATAAATGCCGTTGTTTTAAGTGCTAAAAGGTGAAAATTAGAAAGTACTACAAGAACTTAGATGGGGAAATTTGACACCGTGTGGTGGGTTTAGAGAGGCTCCAAGAAAATTATATTTATGCTGAAACCTTATAAAGAAAACTGAGGAATCAGCCAGGCCAAACAGTGGACATGCTTTATCAGCATCATCGTTGTGTGGTAAAATGAATTGGGTTCTCTGATGATTTCAAAGTCCTAAGACAATAAATATAGCCAGTCGTACCCTCTGGTTATAACTTTTGACTGTCCATCTTCTATCTGCATATAGTCTCTTTCTTGTTTTCAGCTTTGGATGTTTTTGTCGTCTTTAGTTTCCTCTGGGCAAATTATTTGTCTTTTCATTTTTTTTTTTGTTTGTTTGTTTGTTTTTTTGTTTTTTTTGGTTTTTCTCCGGTACCGCGGGAACCGAACTCACGACCTTGCGCTTGTCAGGCAGGCGCTTTTGCCGCTGAGCTAAATCCCCAGCCCCTGTCTTTTCATTGTTGAATCTTCAAAAGATTCCATTTTTTGATGTATCATTTATACTGTTTTTCTCACTTCAAATTCTTTGTTTTCTTCACTCATTCTGTGGGTGTGTTTTATGTGCTTGAGGTTATGCCCAGCAGTGAACGCCCATCCATGACTAGGACGTTGAGGGCAGAACACCAGCTCGCAGACTGGGGCGGGATCCTGGTGAAAGGCAGCAGCCTTCTGAAATAGGGTGGTGAAAGGGAGGGAGAGGCTTAGAGGAGTCACAGGATAACAGAAGTGGGTGTGGGAGAGTCGCTGGCTGTGGGGTGAAGGAGAACCCCCAGTCAAAGCGGAGGCCCCAGGCTGGATAAAGGCCCGGAGAGACTGCAGCACTGGGACATCAGGAGAATGGGACTTCAGGACCCTCACAGAATGTGGCTCCTGCAAATTGCCAGCTCACGTCTCTCTCTCTCTTTTTTGGAACTTCTCACCATGTTTTGACAGAAGCACTTTCCCAAGCCTGGCTTTGCCCAGGGATATTTTTAGACAGTGACTCAGCAGGATAGAATTTTTCAGAATCTTTATGTTAAGAGAATGGTCCCAGCCCCAGATTTCCTGAGGGCAGTACAGTGTAGACAGAGCTCTGTGCCAGCTCTGTGTCTCCTTTGGAGGTAGAAAGTTCACACACATGCTGCAAAGCAAAAGCTTTTTGGAAGATAGTACCAAGAACTGGCTATCAAAAGGAAAAAGCAAAAAGGAAAAAAATGTGTACAAAACTCCAAGAGTGAGCCTTACAACAATTTCTGGTATTCTTGTTTCTGTTGTCTCAAATACCTACCTTCCTGCTCCTCTCCAAACCCACCCTTCCTTCCCTCCTCCTGGGCTGCATCCACTCAGCCTATTCTATGATTCTCCATTCCTGAGGCCAAAGGCATACTCGGGTTGTCTGCGCCTCTGGCCACATCACAGCTTTCTAAGACACCCCAGGGAGGCCTCATGAAAATGCCACTTGTTAAGTGACACATGACAGTATACGGTAAATGCAGGTTTATTTTCTCTTACTGTACTGCAAAGAAATGAAATAGCTGTGTTAAGTTAGGGGTGAGCAAACTTTCCTTAACGGGTCACCTATTAAATATGTGGGCTTTATAGGATAGAGGGTCATCGCCACATCTTCTGTACCATTCTCTTAGTGTTTGGAAACAAAGATGCACATAGATGAATGAATGTGGCTGTGTTCTTCTTAAATTTTAGTTATGGACACTGAAATTTGAATTTCATATTATTTTTATATATCATGAGAGTGTTTTCTTTTGAGTTCCTCTGTAACACTTTTGTAAAACTTTTGTAACACTCGGTAACACTGTCTGTAAAAATCATTTTCAGCATGCAGGCTATACAAACGCAGGGGCTGGGCTGGATCTGGGCCGGATCTGGGCCAGATTTGCCTCCTGGCTGTGGTTGCCAAGCCTCGTTATTGCCCGGGAAAGCTGCACTACAAAGCCTGTGTCTTCTTCAGTTCATCAATCACCTCAATGTTGTCTCAGTTCTGGGAGCAGGGTCACCCCTCCCCACTCTCTAGGCTGACAGATGTGCTCCCTGTCATCCTTGTCATCCCTCTCACTTTCCGGATCTCAGCGGAGGTACTACTTCATCTGAGGAGTCACCTGTAGCTCAGCTCTGGCTCAGGTGATTCTTTACACTTCCATGCCTGATCTACTTCCCGAGTCCAGACATTTTCTGAATCTGGCACTTCCTGTATCATGGTACTATCCACACAGTACGATAAGGACTGAAAGCACTGTCATCCCTCCCTCCCCTCCAGCTCTGTGGCCCAGTGAGGCCAGGGTCCCCTGGGCTTATTACTGAATCTCAGTGCTCGACAAGCTCAAAACAGAACAAAACAAAACTGAGACTATCTTAGTGCTTATTGATTGAATGAATTATTGAGGAAATATATGAATGAATCTTCAAAGTATCTGAAGCACTCTGGGAGATGAAGGAGATCAATAGACCAAGGATATAAAAAAGTTAACACATGAAAACTTAGAAACCAGTTCGATGATATTGTAGATTACTAAATCACTTGAAGAAAGAAGAAAGATAAAATGGTTAAAGAAGGTTTAATGAAAAAGTGGGCCTTGAATTTACCTTGGAGGAAGATAGATGGAATAAGTAGAGGGAAAAAGTGTTCAGGGTTGTTACTATAGAAAGAAGAATTAGCAAGAATGCTTAGGTCTGATTCTTCTCTATCAGACTCCTCTCCTTGGCAGTACTACCTCTGGAACCCATGGTTTTACTGAGTGGACTACCAGGGGGTGGGAGGAGATCTGGAGTTTCCTCGGTAAAGAACATTGCTTATTTTCTTCCAGAGACACAGATGTGCACACCGTGGCTTCTCTGTTAAAGCTCTATCTCCGAGACCTCCCAGAGCCTGTGGTTCCCTGGAGCCAGTATGAAGGGTTCCTGCTTTGTGGGCAGCTCATGAATGCAGATGAGGCAAAGGTTGGTGTCTCTTTTGTTAGTTGTCTTGCTTTAGAGCAAGTGATGGGTTTCTTGAACAGTCTTGTGGTAGGAGACAGGGGATCAGGGTCCCCCACACCCTTTGGTGAAATACTTTGTCAAGCTGGGGCTTCCTCAGCAACAGAGGGCAGATGACACCAATCATGGTGATTTCATGGGATATCATAATCCAATAAGGAAATGGACCACAATCAAATGTCTCAGAATTGCTTATAAAATGAGAATAGGAGGATACTTCTGAGAAGTCTTTCAAGCACTGTTACCGTCTGAGACATACTGGGACACAAGGACAGGCTAAACAAACAAGCTGGAAGGCAGACGTGGAGTTGAACTGTTTAAGCTCTGTGATGGCCAGTACATGTCAGTAGATTCTAAGAGTGCATTTGCCAGTGAGAAGGACAAGGAGGTTTCTTTTGATCTTTTCAGCCACAGCTGCCTGTAGAGTGTATAATCACCACCTGCCATATCATGCCTGTGAGAGTACACAAGTTCACCAGCAGGATTTCCAACCTATGTAAGTTGTTTCCAGAGACGCCAGACAGGCAGCATCATACGCTAGAGTCATATTAATAGACCAACCAACCAACCAACCAAAGAATTTGATAAACGCCAACTAACAACAGTAAAACTTTCATTGTTTTTAACCAACATATTTAATACCAAATGTTTCATGTATATATTCAGTCTATACCATTAATATTGGGGAGTCTAACTCTCCCCTTTAGGTAGGTTGGCTTTTATCATGACTTATAGTAAATATTCTCTCTGGCAAAGTGGTGCATAGAAAAAGCTACAATGAAGATCAGGATTTATCTTTGATTCTTTTATTAGGCAAATTACATATCTTTTATGAGATTCAGTTTATTCAGTTTGACCGTTAGAACTTTCCACAATGATGGAACTTTTATGTTATGCATCTGCATTGTCCATATGCTAACCATTAACTATGTATAGCTATTAGGCCCTCAAACTATGGCTAGGGCACCTGAGGAATGAAATTCTTGATTTTAGTTTATTTAAATTTAAAAACCAGCAGGTACCAAGTAGTTCCTGTGGACAGCAAGATTTAGATGATTTTCATAATATCTATACCCAAGATTATAGGAAGTCAAGGGTGGTGATCAAAGTGAGTGATTTTTTTAAAAATGTTGGTATAGAGGGAGGTTTAGACTTTGCTCTACTTCAGAATTTTTTATACAGTCTGCTTAACAGAATATTTATTTTATATGAGTGAAGAATGACTGCCTTACACCTGTGAAAACACAAATGTGAGATTTTCCTTCCTGACTGACAGTGTGGAAACTCATGATTTGAGTAGATCCTGGCACAATAAAAAGACTATTTTACTTTTTCAAAATTAGGACAAGAAGAAAACAATAATGGGGTAGCCCTCATGCTGCAGCTATCAAAGCTGTTTTCCAAACAAAAATTGTGAAGTACTAGATCACATGATCAGATGTAAGATGTTTCAAAGATGCCTTATGAATTTGGTGGGGTGAAGGAGAAGAGGATGTGAAAAGAATTAATTCATGTTGGGATATCAGTTCACCTTTATGAAAGCAATAAAATGTTATGGAATAAATGTTAAAATTTGACTAACAAGACAACCATTCAGCTGGCATCTGTTTTATCTCTCAGTTCTTGGGAGAATCAAGAGGCCACTTGGAGTTCTGACAATTTCTCATGTTAGACTTGCTTCTCCCAGCCACTCCCAGTCTCAACATATTTGAGAGTTTCTATGCGTAGAGCAACACTAGCAGGACAGAGGGACCCTGGTCTTTCTCACTGGTGAAAATATGACAGAGGTGATCGCTGGGAGAGGGGAGTCCATAGCAACTTTTGCAAAGAAATCACTCAAGTCCGCTAAAGACGAGAGATCTCATCATGGAGCAGCACTCTGGATGGGAGGGTCTACACCATGGTGTTGTATGAGAGCTGAGAAACCTTCAGGGAATGCTTTCTCCAGGAGACCAGAGCATGTTTATGATGCAGGGCTTCCCACGTCTGAGGGAGGCCCACAGACCTTACCTGAGCTTGTGCACCACCAGAAGAAAGGCCATGGCTGTGGCTGAGAAGAGCAAAGAGCCTCCTGTCTCTCCTCATGCTGGGACACGCACTCCTTGACTGACCCACCTGACATCCAGGACTATCACAAAACTTGAAGAGCCCAATCTTACACCTTCCTACAGCTTGGTCAGCCTGTCTTTTGTCCTAGCAGGTCTCAACAGGGCCACAGTGTTTGAAAGTCTTCTCAGAAGTATCTTCCCTTCTTCACCACTTTAGACATGATTCTGAGGTATTGATTGTGGTCTAGTTCTTTGGTGGATCATCACATCTCAAGCAACCATTAAGTGAATAATTAGTATGTGTGTGAGTTGTCCAATAGTCAATGACTATAATAGTTAAGTTAGATGAGGAGTGGGATGGAGTGAGATAATTAAAGCCAAATCTAAAAATTACACTGCACCAAAACTATGGCCTTCTCTGTACTATTCTTCAAACTTTCTGAGAATTTATAGAGTTCAAAGTAATTCTTCAAAACTACTCACAAAACCATAAGATCAGGAGTGATTGCCAAGATGTGATTGCCAAAGTGGTGTTTCCGTGCAGAGACACCAGTTACGTGGCCAGCTCTCATTGCTGGCAAGTGGTCAGTCTGGCTTACCAGTGTTAAAATGTTCTTCCTAGGCTCAGCAGGAGTTGATAAAGCAGCTCTCCATCCTTCCTCGGAACAACTACAGCCTCCTGAGCTACATCTGCCGGTAAGAGTTCTTGGTGTCAATGCTACACTTTTCAACCACATCAGAAAGAGGCCCGCAGTTAGAAGAGGAGGGACTTAAATTTGGCATCACAGATATTTTAGCTGAGAACTTTGGAAAGTTAACTCTATTCACATAGTGGAGCACAGAGACTGACATTCATTCACAGAGATTGAGATTCCACGAGACAATGTCCAAGACCCCTAAAAACACAAAACAAACATGTTCCCACCTCTGCTGTAGTGCTGTCCAAGTCCTGGCAGTGCCGCAGAACCCTGACTCCTTCTGTTTCTAGAATTTTCTCTGGCTTCCTGATGCTGGATCACAACTTAGTGACCCAGAGACATTCATTTTGGGACACCCCTTTTGTTCTCCTTCAGTCCTTTCTGGGAACCCGCCAGATACCATTTCTGTAACAACATCTAGTTTGTGAATAGATCCAGATCTGCCAGGTTGGGAACCTGAGTCTTTGTCACAGATAGACCTTAATGTTGACTTTTATAAATTAAAAATGCAGCTTCCATATAGTAAGAATGATACTTTCTTACTTTAGGAAAAAAGGAAGATACAGCAAACTATAAATAAGAAATAAAAATTACTCAAAACCCATTGTCCGGCAACAACAACACCTGGGCTTATATCTTTCTGGGTGTTTCTCTCCATTTTTAGACCCAGTTGAAATTTTACTATATATATTATATTTACCCAGATACACATATGGTTTAATCTCACTTTTTTGGCTTGCAGTTATATTGTGTTTCATTTATGTTGTAAAATAGGATTATAAATGACTCTGTAAGATTTTATAATGTTTCATCACTTGGGTACCTCACCCTTTATTTAATATTATCTCCATATTTTCAATTTCATGTTGCTTCAATCTATCCATACCCATGCTCAGTTTTCTTTTTACAAGTGATTCTGAGAGTTTCAGGTCCCAAATGAATGGAAGTATAATAAAAACTGATTGTTAATTATTGAGTACCTGAGAGTTAGAGGCGCATGGTGCTCTCGTCGGAGGATGGGAGTGAGGCGGTTCCATGGATTCCCCATCTCTGAGACCTTCTCACTGATTGAGCTTTCCTCTCTGGAGATGAGTGTGGGGTGGCTGCTGACAGGTGGGAGATAATAGCAGGGCAAGGGGGCAGTCAAATACCCTTGTTGGTCCTTCTAGTCATCTCTTAGCCCCCTGAGCTGGATCCAGTCACACGCTTATGTGATTCTCCACCACAGGCCCCACCCTGCCCCAGGTACGTAGTCCCTCATGATTTCTCCTTCTTTAATGATCTTGGATCCTTCAGGTCGAAGCTAAAGCCTTGTGAGCAGAACAGGCTGGTTTTATTCTGGATACAGGAAGGAAGAGTTGGAATCCAACAAGTGCCTCTTTGGTACCTAGAAGTACTTCTCTTGGCAACTTCCTGTTTTCCACTATGGGATTTCTTGGCTGCCCACAGGTTTCTACACGAAATCCAGCTGAACTGTGCTGTTAACAAGATGAGTGTGGACAACCTGGCTACTGTAATTGGTGTGAATCTCATCAGGTCAAAGATCGAGGACCCTGCTGTGATCATGAGAGGTACGTCAGGCTGGTCCTGCAGTGAACGCATGCACAGAGAAAGGAACAGCAACACTGCTCCTCATGTTTGCACCCCGCTCTGCAGTTCACAAACCATGTTCAGCTGATTATCTTGTCTGAATTGTATTAAAAGTGCTATGAGGTAGACAGAGCTAGAATTAGATCAATTTTCCAGGTCACAGTAGAGAGACAGAGAGAGGTCAAGGATTTGCTCAATGGTTATCTTGCACAGTGGGCTACCATGGAATGCTTCCTAGTCTTTTATTACTTTTCTATACCCTGAGCCAGAGAGGGAAAACAAGGTTTCATTTTATAAGCTATCTCACCAAAAGGCTGCTGTAATGCTGGCCTGAGAAAGTTCCGAGTGTGTTTGCTCAATAAGCAAAAGTCTTGGCATAGAATACCGATGTCTGCTGTGGGTGTGAGGAGGCGGTATGCATGACGTATATTTGCTCTGTGTCCAGTAAGAAACCAGGTGTCATATTGAGGGCAACAGCCAGAAAGAAAGATGTCTTCCTTTTCTCTCCTGTTATACTGCCTACTTTTCTGGTTAAAAACTGACCCAATGTAATATAGGCTGCAAAGAACTTCAAAAAGCCCCCTCTTCTACCCTACTTCCACGTTTTCTTCTAGCCCACCATTTTCATCATAATCTACCACTGAAAGTAATTAAAAAGGGACTTGTGAAGAACAAAATGAGTTCTTTAGGCTCTATGGCTTCAGGGCCAAATTTGGATACATAATGTTGGTGGGAAATTTTGAAGGCTTACTGCTTCCTATCCCATGATCCAGCACTACAAAGCTCTCTCTCTTGTTCTTTCAGGGACTCCTCAGATCCAAAGAGTGATGACCATGATGATCAGAGATCATGAAGTCCTCTTCCCCAAGTCCAAGGACACACCCCTATCGCCCCCTGCCCAGAAAAATGACCCCAAGAAACTCCCGGTGCCCCGAAGCTCTGTGGGCTGGGATGCCACTGAAGACCCCTCCATTTCTAGGACAGACAACTTCAGTAACACGGTAAGACCCAGACAGCCTTTCTGCCTCCCTGGACTCTTCCTTTGTTCCAAAGCATTTCAAGTAAGAGCTGCTCTGGGTGAGTTTGTGGTATGAGGGATGCTGTCATGACAGTGTCTATAGCTGGTGCAGGCCATGCGAGCACCTCTTGGCACCCTGGCCTCTTTCAAGGCCCAAGGTCTGTGGCCATCCTGGTGGTGGGCTTGTGACTGTGTGCCTATCCCCTGAAGGGTGGGCAATGGATCCTCTAGGAAACCTCTCTGAAAGAGAAACCTTTACAAATACTGCACAGTCCAGGGCAGTTCAGTGGGGAAAAATAGACACCACACTGTAAACGTTTCAGTAAGAGTTGTTGAAAATTCTGTGTGAAAGTCCAGAGGGAACTGGTTTCCTGCTAACCCTGAAACGTGATTCCTCGCTCAGAGTGTGTGGTATTTCGTGTAATATTTCTCATTCCCTGATAAGCCTGCTCAGCAGTGTCAGCCTCCTTGTCTGTACTGAGGAGCTGGAACTCACGTTCTCAGGATCCCAAAACTCTGCAGACTCCAAGATGTGGACTATTTGAGGGCAGTAATTTGTAAAGGTCAAAGATCTTTATGTATTTACAGAAACAACTATTTTTAAAAGAACATATGAACTTTATATGCAGCTTGATTCTTTATGTACGGCCAAGAAATGAATTTAAGATTCTGACTGACTACATAACTTAAATTACCTAAAGTACTATTAATCCTGCAGGTGAAAAATAAAAGCAGTAAGGGTAGTGATTGTGTTTTTTCTTACATGAGGTTTGTCTGGATATAACCAACTTACTAACATCCTAGAACTAAATTACAATTTCAAAATGCACATATTTCATGTAAGAAAACCATCTCAGCAGTCCCTGCGCAGAACCATTGCTGTGCCAATTTAAAAGGTTTCCACCATTCCTAATTTGCTAGGGGCAGCCACTGTGCCGGGAAATTTAAATATATCACCTTTAGAGTCTTCAGCATAACTTTGCAGGGCAGAAATTGTCATGTGCACATTTGATTGAAGAGCTGAGTCCAGAGAGGTTGATCAGCTTGCCCAGGGCAGAAGCGCTAGTGCGTCATAGGGTTGGGCTCAGTCTAGTTTCCACTTCAGGGCTTAGGTGTTTTTGAATCCAGAGAGTGGTGCTGAAGCAGGTGATCAGCTAGAAGGCAGAGAAAGCTTGAACTCTGATGCTCTTGCTTTTGTGTTTTGAATTCCCTCTCCTTCTCCTCCTCCCAGTCCCTCTCCTTCCTCCTCTCTCTCCAATTTAAAAATTTATGATATACACACATGATTCAAAAATGAAAAAGAAAAAGTTACACGTGGAGAAGTCCTGCTCCTATGCCTCTTGGCCTTAATTAATTTCTCATTTACTCTTCCAGTGTCCCTTCATGTAATGTCCATGCAAGAATGCATGAGTGCAAATATTACCTTACTTCCATTTTTCCACAAAATATAGTTTAATGCCTTTCTATCTTTCTTTCTTTCTTTCTTTCTTTCTTTCTTTCTTTCTTTCTTTCTTTCTTTCTTTCTTTCTCTCTGTATCTCTGTCTCTCTTTCTATTTTTCTCTGTCTCTCTCTTTCTCTCTCTCCACACACACACACATACATGTTACTCTGTATCTTGGAATTTTTAACCTCACAGTGTAACCTGGTGACTTTTTCACATCAACACTTAAGCATCCCTCTCACATAATCTCATGCTTTTGGCAGGTGTATACTGTTCCATTCTGTACATGTACCATATTATACTTAGCAGAACCCATACTTGAGCACTATTTGGGGGGGTACCAGAGATCAAACTCACAACCTTGGGCTTGCCAAGCAGGCACTTATGCCACTGAGCTGTATCCCCAGCCCAAAACCCATACTTGAGAAAGTTACTTTCAGTCTTTTGCACAAAGCAAAGGCTGCAATGAATAACTTTGACAATATGTCCTTTTGTGCCCAGGCAGATTTATGTCTGGTATAAATTCCCAGAAGTGGGATGGCTGGGTCAGAATGTAAGTAGACTTAAATATGTAATTTTGACAAAAGATATCAGCATTTGTTCTATCTTATACTTACAAAATGAGTAAGAATCCTATATCTCCACAGTTTCACCAACAGAGTGTGTTTTCTAATGTAGTGTTGGTGAAAGGCTGCCCATCTGATAGATGAGAAGTTGTATCTTAGTAATTTTAATTTTTGCCAGTACTGGAGATTGAACCCAGGGCTTTGTGCATGCGACCACTGAGCAAGTGCTCGCTCATTGAGCTACATCCTCAATTCTTATCAAATTTTACTTTGAGACAAAGTCTCACTAAGTTGTGCAGGGCAGCTTTGAACTTGTGGTCCTCCTCCCTCACCCTCCAGAGTAACAGGGATTATAAGTGTGTGCTACTGTCCTGGTTAGTAATCTTAATTTTGAACTTCTCCCATTCTGAGAAAGATTAAACATCTTTTTCAATGTGTGCAGGCCAGTTGTATTTTTTCCTGTGTTAACTGTCTAACTTTGTCCATTGGCTATATTTATATTGATTGTTGGACATTTTTCTTCTCCATTTTTATAAACTTCATATAACAGCAGCCAACAGAAGTATCCCCTTTTTATGTGATGGAGAGTTACCTGTATATGCACTGCAAATATTCGCCAGTTTATCATATGGTATTTGATGTACTATGTGGTGATTTGCTTATGTTTGTTCATTTTAATTTTGGAGGTCACGGAAATCCACACCAGTTAACTTCATTGTACTTTTCTTTATGGTTTCTGGATTTTGAGGCATAGTTGAAAAGATCTTTCATCCTAAGCTTATAAAAGAACCTTAGTTTAAGATCATTTAGCCACAAACAAGCAAATGATTTTAGTCAGCACTTTATCTCTAAAGCATGAATTAGTTCCTTAACTGCACCGTCCTTTTAAAAAATTACCAGGCAGATAATCAACCGAGCTAATAAATTAAGAGATGGTCTTCTTATGAAGAGTGTCACAAGTATGCAATCAGGGAGCATTTTCTTCCGGTTCTCTAATCCTTATGTTGGGGGCCGGGCACAAGGGTGAGAAAACTCATGTAATGACCATGGCCATTTCTTCTAGACAAGTGACTCCGATGCCACCAGCCCCACAGGATCACAGCCAAGTGACAGGCATCAGGACGAGGGCAGCAAGACCCCCAGTGAAAAGCCAGGAGACTGGAGGGTGCAGTCTCGGAAAAGGACTCAAACGCTCCCTAACCGGAAATGTTTCTTGACGTCAGCTTTTCCAAGTGCCAATAGCAACAAAGTGGAGATCTTTAAAAATGAATTTTGGTCACCTTCATCAGAGGCTAAGGCAGGGGAAGGACACAGGAGAACCATGTCTCAAGACTTGCGTCATCTTTCCGACTCCCAGCGGACTTCAACCTATGATAACGTCCCTGTGCAGCCGGGGTCCCGTGGGGATGAAGTGGGTATGCTCTCTTCCCCTACCTCTGACTCCAAGAGAGATGCTCTGGCTAGCACGGACTCTGAAATGAGGCCTGAAGGAAAAAATGCTGCAGAAGAGGAACTTGATTCTTTGCAGAAGATGGTTCAGGACCTACGGGAGCAAATAGAAACACAGAAGAAAACATATGAGGAACAGATTAAAAAGTAAGTAACATACACAGAGCCCCTGGGAAGCATTAGGCCTCCATCCTTCGAAGCCATCTGGATTGTTCTCATCTTTTAACAAGGTCACATTATAAGTTTTCCATGTAGGAAAAGTGGTGATATGGCTGCTGAGTCTAATAGGAAAGGGGTAAATGGGGTGATGGGATGACTAGGTTAGTGAAAACCCTACACTTTAATGGAGTTAGGAAAACTTAAATACCTAGCTTAAGTAGCTATAACAATTTCCTAACAGTGGTTCTTCATGGCCCATCATACTTTACTGAATTAAGAGAAAATATTTCACATTAATGTCATTCTTCAATTTCTGCAGATACTTTTGGAGTACCTCCTTCACACCAAGCACTATTCCAGGTACTGGGGAAGAGCACTGAGCAAGACAGCACTATAAGCATCATACTTATAGTGTCCTCTCTTCTAATAGGGCAACAGATAATAAAACGATGTGATGAAATATACATTATATCAAGTGGTGGAAATGGCCATAGAGAAAACAAGTAGGTCAAGAGGTTGGACAGCAAAACCACTTATTAGAAGTGTTAATAATAAATAGGGTGGTTAGGGAAAACCTCACTAGGAAGGCGGCATCTAAGGAAATGCCTGGAGGAGATGAGGGGATGAGTCAGATGGACAGGTGGAGAAAAGTACGCCAGGAAAAGAGAAGCCAAGGTGGGGAGGCTGTGAGAGGCTGTGTGCAGACCTGGGATATTTGTGCACGGGAGGAATGGAAGGGGCTGGAGCAGGGGGAGAGCAGCCTGTAGGAGACATGGGGCAGGAAGCTTTGCCAGCCACCGGAAAGCCTGACAGAGGTGGAAGCTTCCACCAGACCCGTGTGTCATCCAATCCCTGACTTCTCACCAAGACAAGCTACAGGGAGACAGAAAATGGGAGGCCAGTTAGACAGCAATTGTCACAGCAAATCTAATTCCTAAGATGAGTGCATAGGATTTTTTTCTTTCGGGTAGGTGAAGAATTCTCTTGGAGTCTTTTTATACTGCTGATTGGCCAGGAAATTGTTTGTTATGAGCAATAACCTTGCTCCATATTAGCTCACTTGAACATTAACCATAAGATTGTGAAATGTGCATTAATAGGTTTTTGTATTTATGGTCACTTCTTCGTGCATTAAGACTCAGATACTAAAGGGAAGAAAGCTGTGAGCCCTCATCCATGTGCCCTGCAGGGAGCTGTCTATATAGAAGCAAAATATAACTCCTTTGGCTAAGATTCTGAAATTGATCACTTGTAGAATTGCAAGTCTTCTGTGACATCTTGGCAGTGACCAAAACAGCCCAGAGAAGGCGGACTGTACTATGTACTGGTCAGCTTTCTGACTCCTGGACAAACTACCTACCACCTACAATTTATAGGAGGAGAGGTTTAATTTGACTATAATTTCAAAAGTTTCAGTCTGTGGCTGGCTGGATTCAGCTCAAAACATCGTGGTAGAAAGGAGTGGTGGAGCAAATCTGTTTAATTCATGGCAGCTGGAAAACACAGCATGGGAACATGCCAGAGATGAAAGAGCCAGGTACCATATATAGCACCCAAAGTCACACCTCCATGACCCATCCAGACACACTCAGAATGTGCTTTACAATTCCCCCTGCGCAGCTCTGGAGACAACCAAGTGGACAATCCAGCTTAACTACCACACACCTTAGCATGAGGGCCATTGGTAGAGAAGGATTAAAAAAACAGCTGCCACAGAGGTGGCTGATCCTTCTGAATAAGACAGAGTCCTGTGAATCCACCTATCAGGGGACTCCCAGCTTTTGCAGAGAGGGAACAGTGAACTGCTGGCAGTAGCTATTCTAAGCTTTGTGCTTCAGAGACATCTTATGGCACCTCTAGAGTAATCCTGTGAGACAGGAGAAGAAATGGGAGCTCAGGAAGCAGTGAAATATGCCAGAGGTTCATGTGACTGATCATTGGTGGAGTGGGATTCGAAAGCCGGGCTCCTGAGCCCGCTCAGATTCTACCTCTCCAGTGGAATCAGTGGTCAAGATCTCACTAGGATTTTCTCCAACTCAGAGGGTAGGCAGAACTTTGAGGAGAAAATGAAATTTGTAATGAAAGGGTCAAAATGAAATTTGTAATGAAAGGGTCAAAATGAATGAGACTAATTTTTCTGTAGGACAATAAAGGCAGGGGTAGGCAAGATTCCAAAGGAGGACTGTTACATGCAGAATGGGCCAAGGCCTTTGAAACCAGAAACCAAGGTGCAGGTTCAGGTGGAGCTCAGGTTTCCACAAGAACACAGGCAGGCTTTGTTCTACATGAACAAAGAGCCAATAGGCACTACCCTAAAGGATGAAATTTTGAATCCCTTCCAGTCACACCGTCTGAGTTTTTCACAACCATCGTCAGGTTCAAATGTCCCTTCTTTGTCTTAAAAATGGAATGCATACATCCACCTCTAAGGGTTAATTCGACATAGTCTGAGAAGAGGCACCTGGGACTATATTAAGATTATAGTCAGTTACAATGAAAATCCTGGGAAGCCAGAAAACCTACAGATCTTTGGCTTGGAGCTAACAAAACAGCGGCCTGGAGGTTCCCTTTGCTCCTCCAAATCTTGTTTCCACGGAGGACCTCAATAAAGAAAAGTTTTGATTTATGCTTTCCACTGGAACAGGGTGAAGAGGCATTGTGTGCACAGAAATATTTGGCATGAGGAATATGGACCGGGCCTCCACAGTTTTATTGAGCAAGACCCATACAAGGTGCCAAGAGTGGAAGCACCCATATATTAGAGTGGTCTCTTCATTCAAAGATTTTACTATCTGATTGAAGATACCAAACATAAACAAAAAGGAAAAACAGCATTACAATGATATCATAAGATATCACTTAGTTGAATGACAAAGAAAGGGCTCAGTCATACTCTGGTATTCAAGTTTCTGGGAAGTCCCCATGGGAGGAGGAACGTAAATGGAGGCACAGGTTGGTCTTCCCTCGCAGGTTTTGGAAAGGAAAAGGAACAGGGAGGTCCTGAGCAAAAGTTAAGGAGAGTGAAGGAAGGGCCTCACATTAAAGCTCTATTCTTTCATTCTTTTCTTCTTTTCCTTGCAGTCTTGAGAAGGAAAATTATGATGTCTGGGCTAAAGTGGTAAGACTCAATGAAGAGTTGGAGAAGGAAAAGAAGAAGTTCGCAGCTCTGGAAATTAGCCTTCGAAATGTGGAACGCTCCTGGGAGGATGTGGAGAGGAGGAACAAGGTTTTGGAAGAAGAAGTCAAGGAATTTGTCAAATCAATGAAGGAGCCTAAGAGTGATCCTTGAGGATCCTAGAAGTACCACAAGGACAGCCCAAGAAAAGCTTGACTTTCCTCCTTTTCTCAGTGGTGCGTACAACTGGAAAAGTAATTTAACTCCCTAAGAGGGAAAGGATATTTTAGGGGAAATGTCACATTGCACAATAAGTAAATCAATGGAGTTTGCAGGCAGATGAGGATGAGGAGGGACACATGTGGACACCCATGACCACTTGTCACTGAACTCAAAGGTGTTGTATTATTCTTCTGTGGCCTCGGGAAGAGCAGAATCAAACCTTCTGTGGTTAATAACTACTTCCAACAAAACGCATGAGACAGGTCCTATCTCAGGACTCAGGCAGAAAGCTGGCCCCAAGCTGAAGCTGGGTTGATACGTTAGTTTTTTATTTCAGCATGAGATAATTCATTCAGTCAGATGACTTCAAGATACCTTCAGGGCATGGGAAGAACATAGTATTCAGCTCTCCAAAGCTCATCCAGGAGGACTGTGATTGGGAAGCTGCTCCTGCTGGCGTGGGAGCCCTATTCTGCCATCCCTGACCCAATATACATTCTCTGGGGTTCTCAGACTTAATATTAGAGTAAGGTAAAGCAAGCAATAAACTGTATTTATAAAGATAAAATTGTATTCAAATAAAGTAATTTTGAAAACAAAAAGAAAGAGCAAGGCTGTTGCGAATTCATACAACATCTTTATACGAATTAGTAAATGATATCCTTTCCTCTGAGCAGTTGTACCTCTCAGGAGTCCGTGGCTTGGTGACCAGGACATGGGCTGTTCTCAAGCCCTCACCTGCCTTTCAGTATCCTCATCTATGTGCCAAGGTCCAGAACAAAGTCTTCCTGCTCTGATGTGATCTCCTTAGAGACTTGCAGGTTTACATAGTAAAAGTTATGAGAATAATATTTTTTTTTTCATTTGCCAAAATGCAAGTGATTTTACCTTGTAAAGCTACATTGGGCACGAGATGACGCCTGGGAGATGAATTTCCCAGCAGATGGCCCCCTTGCAGGAGATGGTGGTGGTGGGGTGAGGGGAAGATCTGGGACATTATTAGGAAAATCAATAAAATATTTGATTTCCTGAGATCTACTTGTTCTTTAATTATAGAGTCACAAAAATGGCAATCGTCATTGGACACCTAATCATTTCTTTGTTTTGAGACAGCATCTCGCTATGTAGTTCAGACTGGCTTTGAACTCATTATGTAGCCAAGGTTGACCTGGCCTTGAACTCACAGCCAATCCTCTTGCTTCAGCCTCCCAAGTACTGAGATTACAGACATGAGCCACCACATCCAGTTTACTGGACACCTAAGTTTAGTCGATGAGTAGCTGCAGTTACTTCTCCAAGCATATGTCCCTATCTTCTCCCAGATGTCTCATAGACTTGTTAGGTACAAAACAGGGTCGCGTATGGAAGTGATCACCATCACAGTTTCAGGCAAAATACCATATGTCTGACAGTGCAAAGAGGAGGCAGGAAAGTCTGTTTTGAGGCTGGTATTATAGGGCTTGCTAGGCCTGGCAGCTAGAGCTCAGGCCTACTGGGAGTGCTAACTTTGAATCCCAAGTTTTCTGGTCTGGTGATGCTTCTAACTCTATCCCTTCCTCCAGTGATATGAGAAGCAGAGCAGCCCTTCCAGCTTCAGAAGCACTGGGCAATCAGGCAAAGAATCTGGCTTTCTTAAGGTGCCATTCCTTGGTGATATGCTGCCCTCCATACTAGGATAACACACACACACAAAACCAGGGTTATTCCAAGTCACTTGCTCTTTGTGACTCTAAAAGGAATATCAGGAGTCTGATGCACTGTACTCAGTTCCTCAAAAGGATAAGCATGAGACACATGACAGGGTAGCTCTAGGCCTTGCCAGAGCTGAGGTCCAATTTCTAGAAGGTGGTACTGGAGACTAATCTATGTCAGATATTCTGTTGGACCCGGGAATTCTCACCTTTGTTTTCAAAACCATTGTGGTGGAGACCACTGTGAAGGGGCCCTGAGCAGGATTTAAATTAACCAATTGGCTTTCCATGCTTGCTTGTGCGTCTGTGCAAGGCCTAGGCCCCTTGTCTAGAGATGGGCACAAACTCATAGTAAATGAACCTCTGTGAGTCACTGGTCCTGGCTGAGGCTTGTAGTGGCCTGTGAAGCAGCGATGCCTCAAAGGACAACACAAGGCCACGGCTAAGGACAAAAGGACGACTGGCCCCAACCTCAATTAACTAGATAAAGACTAGCTGCAGGCATCTCACTCCTGGTGAAGGCCTTAACCGACACAACACAGTTCTCATAAATTAACATAATGTCTTACTTGGAGAAGTCCTTGAAGGGACTTCCAAATTCCCCCCAAGTTCTGCTCAGATTCCCACACTTTCTTCAGTATTTCCCCTCCTTTGTTTGATAACCAGATAAATACGGGCCACCCAGAGAAGTACTTTCTCAGCCCTGAGAATGTCATATTCTGTTAGAGGGTTTTGATATTCCTAGAGCCCTAAAATCATACCACTTCACTCTCTTATTTAAACCTTCGCTGTACCCTCTTTCGGGAGATTGCAGACCTGGTCAGTCGCAATAATTAAGTGATGATATTAACTTGTTACCGTTGCATGGACAGGACTGCACTAAATCTGCCTCCTTTTCAGCTTCTCCGCTCTGCCCACTCACGTGCAAAGCTCCTTGCCCTCTTCCCTGCTGCATTTCTTTCCCCTCAGAGTCTTGGAAATGATGCATCTCAGGACTCATTTCTCTGAAGTTTAAGGCAGACTTGGTGCTTTCCAGCAAGCTTATGTCATGCATGAGAAAGATTTGTACTAGGGAATTGTCTGGGATGATTCCCTCCAATAGATTTTTTTTAAGGGCTGAAAATACCAAGCGTGGCGTTGCAGCCCAGAGCCTGCCGCATAGGATGTAAGGAGTAAACACTGTTGCTGTTTTTAGGGGGGGTTTTTTGACCAACTTCCTTAAACTCTGTTCAAAAAGGAAGAAACAGGAAACTGAAGCAGCTGATGGCTACTGCGAGGGACAGGACAAGGAGTGCCGCAACAACTGCTGGCTGGGCTCCACAGGCTGGGAGGGGGACGATGTATGTGCATGGACATAGAGTAAACTTCCACATTCCACCACTTCCTGTGCAGATACCAGCAGCGAGCACGTCACGTGCTGGCTGGGGAGCGGAGAGAATGCGCCTGCAATTAAAACAGGCCGCCTTTACAAGAATCATATGGAATCCTTCATCCTGCCTGAGGAGGCTGGGAAGAAGGAGGCCTCCGGAATGGAACTGCTGCTGCGTCTGCCCATTTCGCATTTGGCCAGCAGTAGAAAGAACTGAAGCTGCAGGGCTTGTGGCCCAGAAGATTTTCCAGGGTAAACTCAGATAAAGAATGAACAGAATACCCACAAGGAGGTGTAACTACTCTATTTTCTCTGATGCTCGAAGACTGTCTTACAATCGTAGAGCGATAGAACTGGAAGACACTTTGAGTGTATGTAATCCAAACCGTTTATTTAATGGACAGGGAAATTGAGGCCCAAAGACATAAACTGAATGCTGGTGTTACGGCTAGTGCTCCCACAGCAATAAGAAAGAAGATTAAAGGAGACGATTTTCAAGGGGTCCTCTAGCTCACATTTCAGGGACTCATGATTCTTAGCTTCTTTCCAAGGGTTCTTTTTTTTTTTTTGGTTTTTCTCCGGTACCGGGAACTGAACTCATGACCTTGCACTTGCCAGGCAGGCGCTTTGCCACTGAGCTAAATCCCCAGCCCCTTTCCAAGGGTTCTTTCCCCAAAATTACAGTCAAAGTGCAAAACTCTCAGTCTCAAAGTACTGCCAGAGTTTAAAGCCAGCATCTGCTCATGAACCCAAGCAAGACCTGCCTAAGGAAATGCCATTGTTTCACTTGCTTTTTATCACCAACGCTGTGCTAAAGCAGTGGCTCTCAGTCTTGGTTACATAGTAGAGTTTTCTTAGGAACTTAAGTAAAATTCTGATGCTCAGATTCTACCCAATATCAGTTGAATCAGAATCTTGCAGGTGGGCCCTAAGAAGTGATTTTTTTTTAATTTCAGCTGATACTGATATATAACCAGATTTGTTTAACACTGTTCTAAAACAATTATTAAGTTTGGCTTGAGTCATGACTTATGATTATGTTAATCTACTTGCTTCCTTCAATCAACACAATTTAATCCTGATTACCCCTTTGTGATGGTTTATCGCATGCTTGTTCTTTTAGGATAAAGCATGCCTGAGAGATAAAAAGGGATTCCTTATATACCCATTTTGCACATGGTGAAAACTCACCCCAGAGAGATTTCAAAAAAAAATCTCACTATAACAGTAATTTAATCATGAACAAATCCAAAGATTTTGAGATCCTCTCAACTTAGTTGAAGGATTAACGTTCTCCCTAGGCAAAGGAAAGTAAGCACCTTGAGGGCTTGGTTTTAAGACTCCTGAGACTATCTGATTAAAACCATCTCCCTTTCAGACTCATAAAATCAAGAAATCGCTACTAGTAACCCTTAGGATATTAACCACAAATATGATTTTACTGGGGGAAAACTGGGAGGCTTTCTCAATTATTAATACTATCTTTATATTAGTTATGTGATTCCTAGCAGAGAGCTGTGTAATGAAGAAATGTGTGCCTGGCTGGATAAGATATGTTATGGCTCACGGGACAGAGCAAGGATATAGATGTGACCAAGGCATACTGCAATGTGGGGCGCGACCACCTGCGATGCAGGGAGGAATCAGTGACAGGGGAAAGGGGAATCCGGATTGCAGAGTAGAGAGGCCAGGTTGCTCCCAAGCATGCCTGATAGCTGGTTGAAGCTGGCACTTTGTTTTTGTTTTTTTTTTTTTTTTTTTTTTTTTTTTGGTTTTTCTCCGGTACCGGGAACCGAACTCACGACCTTGCGCTTGCCAGGCAGGCGCTTTGCCGCTGAGCTAAATCCCCAGCCCCAAAGCTGGCACTTTGGCTTCGCTTCTGCCCTCTGTTCTCCTCTATATTTATGACTTCAAAGGAGCTCACCATGCTAAATGCATCCTGGATTCCTTTGACACTGGTGCCAACATAACAGTAACTACCATTAAGAGCAGCAGGTATCTTTCGTTCCCCACCAAGATGTGTGCTGAGCATTTTATATATCATCCCCTTTAGCTCTCAAACCAACTTTTTTTTTTTACTGCAGCCAAACTTGTTTTGCTGAAGTTTTAATGCATCGGAGATAAGAACTGAAGTGAGCCTGTCCAGTCTGTGTGATGCTCTGTCGGCCATGCTTTCATGTAGGGAAGAGGTGCAACACCAAGACTATATTAGAGATGAAGAAATAAGATAAAATTTCCACATGCTACTACTTGGACTTTGTTTTTTGACACAAAGTCTTACTGTGTAATTCAGGCTGGCTTTGAACTCACTATATACCTAGGCTGGCCTGGAACTCACAGTGATCCTCCTGCCTCAGCCTCTTGAGTGCTGGGGTTACAGGCGTGTGCCACCACTCCCAGTGCATACTACTTGGGTCTTGAAAAGCCCATGTGTTGAAGGCCTCATCTCTAGCGTGTGGTACTACTGGGAGGTGATGGCACCTTTAACAAGTGGACATTAGTAGAAGAAGCCAGGTCGCTGGGGGCATGCCCCTGCTAGGAA